AATGGGGAAAGGTGGAGCGACTTGTCAGAGGTCACCAGCTAATCTAGAGGCAGAACCAGGACTGGAAGTCCAGCTGTGACCCAGAGTGCAGTGATCTTTCTGCTCTGGACACTGCTACTGGCCCTGGGCAATGGAACTCCCTTGTTAACTCCGAGTGCTACCAAGAGAACCACAGCTTCTGCAGCATGCTCAGGTTCAAGTCCTGGCTGGCTAGACTCCCCATTTCCCAGCATGCCAAACTGGAGCCTTCAGCTGACATTTAAGTACCCCTTACTTTTCCTCTCTCATGCTAGCATCCTCCCCATCCCACCTACACACACACACACACACACACACACACACACACACGCACGCGCGCGCGCACGCACGCATCCTACAGCATAAGGGTTAAGGACTATACTATGCAAGTTGCTTCTGAGCCTCAGTGTTTTATGTGAACCGTACAACTTCACAGGGTTGTGATTCTGAAACAGAAAATGCGAGTAAAGCTTCCCACACAAAGTCCAGTTTTGAGTGGGTTTGAACTGCCAACCTTTTTTGATTAGCAGCTGAGAGCTTTCCCGTTGAGCCACCAGGGCGCCTTCTTTAATAATAGCAGTAGGTATTATTGGCTGTACTTTTCTGCTTTTTAAAATCCTCTCCACCCTTCAAAGCTCAAAGTCCCACCCTCGTCTCCCCAAAAGTGCCCTCTCTCATTGTCTGTGACAATTTCTCCCTCCTTGGACCTCTAGTAGTCTTTAGAATGGGAAGAAAAGCCTGCAGGAGGGGATGTGTGTGAAGGTGGAAAACGTCTGGGCTGTGGGGAAGGAAGAAGCTGGGGACCCTGACCTCTACTCTAATTCTACCACAGCACCTCTGCTTGAATGGTTTTTACACATGGGGGCACCACTTCATGATTTTATCCATTAAAAAGATTCTATTGTGTGGCACCAAAGAATAAGTACTGAACCTCAAGATTGTTTTATACTGCAAATGGCGGTTCAAACTCACCAGCCACTCCTTGGAAGCCCTATACAGTGTTGCTATGAGTTGGAACCAACTCTCTGGCACTTAGAACAACAACAGCATTGCTAATAAAGATTCCTGGTGTGGTGCTGTAGGGTAAGCTCAGGACTGCAAGTTTGGTTTGAACCACAAAGTTGGCAGTTCAAACTCATCAGTCGCTCCTCGGAAACCCTATACAGGGTTGCTATAATTCGGAACCGACTCTCCTCCGGCACTTAACAACAACAAACATTGTTAATGAAGTCTGAAGACCACCTTCCACTCCTGGAAAGGAATCTGAGTCCTTGGTTGACCTGAGGTCAGAGTCAATGACAGACCTAAAGCTGGTCCTAGGAACCCAAGTCCCAGTCTGTTCCTCTTCCAAACATCACTCTTTTCAGACCTGTGGACCCCTGTCCCTCTTAGGAGTAAGTCTTAAAGAACAAGGACTGAGGTACCTAGGGATCTCCTAAGCTCACAGCACTGCCCTGGTCTGAGACCCCAGAACACCGTGGGTGACTGGCAGAAAGAAAGTTCTGGGCTCACCAAATGGCTGTGCATCCTTTGATGAGGCTCAGCTTTCTCACACACAAAGGGTGGTGCTTTGCACTAGAGGGGACTTGGCACACAGTGGGTGCTTGACAAATGGGAGCTCTCTCACTTCCCCCCTTCCTCGAAATCAATACGCCTTCCATTGATGGATGCAGGTGACAGTGATGGATTATAGGAGATCCTGGAGCCCTGCCCCCTTCTCATTAGTCAGAGTGGGGAAGGGACTTGGTCAGGCAGTGCCATGGGGGTGTCCAGGCAGAGCGTGGAAATGCTGGTGGTGCTACTAGAGAGGGAGGTGAGGAGAGTGGGTGGGAAAGAAGTTGCTGAGGATGGGGTGAAGAGAACAGGTGGGAGAGAGAGGGTGGGGAAACAGCATACACACCCCTCCTGTGGAGGGGCTGAACACACACAGTCCTCCAGTGGGGGAGCCTGAGACAGCTGTTTGCTCAGAAAAGTGTCTTAGTCACTAAAGGCTACAGTGGGGAAAGTCTGTCCTCCCAGTCATGTCCTGGGAATCCGGATGGGGGCAGGAAGGCCGCTGGGTGACCCTTAGATTGGCCACCTGTCCTCTCTAAACTGGACTTTCTCCTCTGCCTCCTTCACTCCCACGTAAACACCAAAGACACTTTGCTTAAAGCCTCTTGGGACCATTTCCTCCATCCCCTTGTCCCTGGGGAAGAGTTCTGTGTCTCTCCACTTTGAAAAGCAGTTGATCTGCCTGCCCCTCCATTACGCAGGCCACAGTTCAGGGAAATTCTTCATGAGATCTCACTCCCAAGCCTCTAGTTACAACCCCAGTCCCTTTGCCTCTGCGGCCTTTCAGGGGCTAATCTGGAGCTGGAGTTGGAAAAGAGAATGAGAAACCCTCTTCCTGAATAAGGGCCCCTTCACAGGGAGAAGGGACCTTTGCAGTCCCCTACATGGGGCTTCCTGGAGAAGGGAGGCCTGGAACCAGGGCGATTCATGTTTGAGAATCAAATTTCCCAAAATGATGGGTAATTTCTAATATGGGTATTGATAAGGGCAGCCTGGGTTTGAGTTCAGAAAGACCTGCCCCCCCCCCCCAATATCACAACTACTTTCCCTGCAGGTGGGACCTTGGACAAGAGGACAGTGCCCCACATCTGGAGGGTGTCTGCCTCAGCTCAGACTGGGTTAGCCCAACCCAGGCATGGTGCGCAAAGCCAGGCCCTGGGTTTCTAGTTGCCAGTCCAGGGTCAGGGCATCACCTGCCCAGGGGCACTAGGCTCTGGCCCTGGGTGCGTCCAGAGTCAAGAACAGCCTTGGAGATCCAGGTCAGACCCACGTTTCCCACACCAGAAGGCACTCCTAGCTAGGCAGGCAGGAAAGGGTCACTACGGGGGTAGTAGCATGGCCCCCCAGCCCCCCAGCCCCTTCCTTGCCTGCCTGACAACAGCCCTGCTTCCCTCCCTTCTCCGCTGGTGCTCAGCAGATCAATGCTGCCTTTGCTGACAGCTGAGAATCGAGCTTGCCTTCCCACCTCCTCCTCCCCCTCCCACTCAGCTCTGTCCCCCGAGATCCTCGCGGAGGAACCGGGAAGAGTTTGCTGCGGAAGCGCTTCACCCTAGGGCAGGGCCTGCAGAGGGAATGGCTGGTGTGGTCCCTGCTTTCAGCCAGTGAGGAGGAAAGGAAGATGGGAAAACCCAAATTACCACCCAGTGCAGGACTGGGAAGGCTGAAGGGAAAGGACCGCCCCTTAGAGCTTGAGAGAGATGGAAGTCAGGCACTAAGAACTTTCCAGAGGAGACTGGGGGGCGGGGGGGGGGCGGGGTGTCTCCCTCCTTCTGGGTGGGATTCTGTGGGCATCCTACCACAAACGTTGGTTCTGTAGCAGACCTGGGACCCTCCTGCCCTGTCCCTCACCTCTTTGGACAAAGAACAGCATGTATCCCCCTGGCCACTCTGTGCACATACCAGGAAAACCGCAAAGCTGAAACAAACCTTGCAAAATTGAGTAACAGGAAGAGTGTTTAACTGAAAAATTTCTACCCCACAGCTAACAACACCTGCTTGTACACCCATATGTAACCAACCTGTATATAAGCTGACATTTTCAAGCACTCGGGGTCAGAGTGGTTTAAGCAATAGCTGACACTCTGTCCGCCGGCAATAAACCTTGCTCTCCTGAGATCCGGGACTGAGTCTCTTACTCTGCGCCGCGCCATAGCAGTTCGATGCTCACCTCCCAACACCTCTTAAGCCCTGAATTTGGCTGCCTGAGCTGGGAGCGAGGCGCGGGGGACCTCCGTTCGGATAGGCAGGGAGCACGTCCCCTCCATCAGGGTATTCCCCTTTTGGGGCAAGTGGTCTAACTGGGAAATTCTTCTGGAGATGACAAGCTCAGAGAGGGTAGAGGGTGGAAGGGAAAGCTGATATAGGGAGACCCACCATGCTGCATACAGTCTGCCACCACGCCCCAGGCTTCAGGTAAGCACAGGCTATCTGCCTACCCAGCCACACCCTGCACAACGAGCAAAGGGCATGACCCAACCAGAATACACCTCACTGCTGCATCACCACATACTTCATTCTCACCCACAGCACCCCCATTCCCCCCACCTTCACTGACTCAGTCCCCACCACTTTGCAACGTCTCAGCCACTCACTGCGTACACCAACTATTAGACACCTCTTCAACCCTTCACGCCTAAATCCTACGACACCACGTCCATCCTCGACCGCAGCCACCACTCCACACTCCACTCCCCACTTTCCACAAGTACACATCAGGCGTCCCACTCCAACCTGGCCTTCAGGTGCTCCCCCCCGCACACACACTCACTGCCCACCACTTGCATGCGCCCAGCCTCTCTGCTCTGAGCGCTGCCCTCGCGGGCCCAGCCACGCGGGCCGGGCCGGTCACCGGCTCCGCGGCCCGTGCGCTTGGCCCGACCGCCTTCTCCGCGCCGGTCCCCTCCCTCCTCCTGGCCTCGCTCGCCCGCTCCCTCCCGATTTGGGAAGGCGGCCGCGGGGCGGGAGGAGGCGGGCGGGGGAGGAACGGGGCGGGGGAGGGTGACATGTGAGCGGCGCGCCGGCGGCAGGTGGAAAGGCGAGCGGCATGGAGCGCGTAATAAGAGAGTTGGAGTCGGAAAGAGCCGCCCCAGTCGCCGGGGAAGCGGGCTGTCAGTGCGGGCTCCGGCGGCCCCCAGGCTCCGAGCGCCCACCCCCGACCCCGGAACGGCCCTGGCTCGGCC